TCTCCAGGCGTGCTTCGCGGCGGTTTGCAGCCATTTCTTTGCTGTCAGCAGAAGTAACCGTCTATGTTTTGTCTTTACAAATAGCTTTTATTGAGCTCTTTAAAAGCCGCTTTATTGTGCGATGTGACAGCAGCGCAGTGGCCTCACAGTTAAAGAATACGAGGCCAGTTTCCGGTGAGAGCATCAGTCTTCTGCCTGCTTTATCTTCACTGCTGCTTTCTGCTGGATTAGTCGAGGATGTCGAGCGATGCCTTTTCAGTCTGGCGCGCCTGATCGTGGTATCGCACGCTCACAGATGGCCCAGAGACGGCTTAAAAAGTTGTCAGATCAGCTCTGATGCGCCGACGAACTAGTGCGGTGCGTCGGACGTGACGAAGGACGGCAGCTGGCGGCGCTTTCAGAAATCTGGCTTTGAAATCTCGCGTCACGTGATTGAGTTTGTGTTTTAAATGATACGTGCACAACTTTACTGTTTGCCTCAAACTGAATGCATTAAAAATTATGTCTTACAGATACTACAAAACGCATACAAACGCCTCTATTAGTCCAAAAATCCTTTGGTTAGAAGTCATTTAAGTCACAGCACTGTGGGTGTCGTATCAGCGCGCGTTCATTTCAATAAGTCTGAGATCTTTTTTCTTTTCTTTGGAAAAAAAACCCAAAAATCTTTTGATTCAAATGAAAAATGTAAGAAAACCACTCAGAGTAAATTATTCCATTTAAATGTTTAAAATTGTTTTCATCATCGACTCTCTAAAGTAACACCAAAGAGGCTTTTTATAAACATCTTTATTTGAATATTTAAATACGAGCATCACTAACGCACCGCAGTATTTATTCATCTACAAAGAACCAACTGACCCTTTTAAAATGCACACAAACTCAACTAAACTCTAACACGAGGCAGTAAAGATGTGACACGTTTGCATCGAGATTTTAAATGATCTCAGTCAGGCTCCAGGTGATGACATCACCACCCTGAACGGGAAATGCAGGTTTCCATTGGCTGCTGCTGGCGTGGCCCAACATGAGCCCAGAGAATGGGAGGACTTTGAGCTCTACAAAAACGAAGCAGATCTGCTGGTTGTTGGCGTGTTGCGGTGGAAGCTTTGCAACTATGAAATGTTCAAAAACGCTGATGCATCATGAAAAAACCAGAGATGAGGATCCACCATCAGCCACACAACGATGATTCTCCATGATTTATTTATTATCTTTGGCCCTGAAACTTGGTCCCGTGAGCTTCTCGGCTGTGGACGCGCGACCGGGTCAGATCTTTGCAGCTCCTCCCTCTGTAGCCTGTGGTGATGTCACCCTGTGCTTTGTGATCAATCAACCATTTCTTGTAAACATACTGAACTCTTTATCAGAATTTTAACT